TATATTCACGTGAAGCGTGTGTATATTTTTCCACAGTGACCAGTATTTTCTGCACTCTTTATTCTCTGTGCATTCACCTGAGCAATATGGTCAGGGATGAAGTCACTACCTCTTGCTTACTGGTCAATATCAAACATTTCTCTTCAAGCTATTTTCTTTCTGTGACATCTATGTTTACTCTTCCATAAATTCATTGCTTATTTTAGCTTGTGGAAATGTCTCTTTCTTTTCAGTTTCCTTGGCTTTGGGTGATTTTTCTTCAGCAACCAAGGTGGAGATAGGGACCCTGGTGACTCCCAAGGAAAAAGGTATTTTACGCTAGGTTATACAAATGAGCAAACGTAGGACTGTCTACAGGTATTCTTTCTTGTGTTTTTTGTCTCCCTTTCCCATCATAAAAAGATGCATCACTGCACATTAAACCCTGAGGCTGGAAAGACTGACATTTTCAGAGTTAGCAGCTCTGTTTTTAAGTTTTATTCCATCTTCCTTCTCCTGCCCTCACTCCTGGAGATGAAGGGAATTGTCTCAGGATGACCAGGAAGAGGAAACAAGAGTGGTCAAATGCCTTCCAATAGGGCAGTGAAGGAGCTGGCCTCAGGACTCATACTTTAATTGTATGTAATATATACCACGTATTTAATATATACCAGTCTGGAATTGTAATATCTCTCTGCTGCTTCCTTAGCAGATTTAATTTCTCATACATCAGATGAAATATTGCATTTGTTGAACTTACATGTGACTGTGTGAGTGGGTGACTGAGGTTATAAAAGCTGCTTACCTCCAGTTAGTAAAGAGCATTTGCAACCATTCTAAGAATACCTTGGCTATTCTGAATATATTGTGGCTATAGAACAAACAAATCTGAATGTCCCTTTTAAAATTTCATCAAAGGCACAGGTCTTAGAAGGCGCTAGTTTTCTCACAGTCCATGACTGCCACCCACAGGATGACATGCACATTTTTGTGCACTCAATTTCTTTAATACTGTGGTCAGAAGGTAGTACATGTTTTAAGAGAGAAAGCTGAAAGGAAATTAAATTCCTCTGTCTGCTTTTGATAATCATATAATTTACATTGTAACCAAATGGAAAATCCCCTCTCTCACCTAACCTTACTCTTTCTGCTAGAACTGTCTGACAGGCAAAACCATGTTTTAGAACTTCAAACAGCTGATATAGAATTTTTAACATCTTAAGGAAGGTTAATGGGAGAATTATACTAGATTTTATAGAAATATACTATTTTACATAAATTCAGAAATATATAATATTTATAGAAATATACTAGCTGTTGAGGACAGCTGACCTCAACTGACCTAAGGGATCACAGAATTGTAGGGGTTGGAAGGGAGCTCAAGAGATCATCGGGTCCAAACCCCCTGCCAAAGCAGGTTCCCTAGAGTAGGTTGCCCAGGTAGGTGTCCAGACAGGCCTTGAATATCTCCAGAGAAGGAGACTCCACAACCTCCCTGGGCAGCCTGTTCCAGTGCTCCGTCACCCTCACCATGAAGAAGTTATTTCGCATGTTGGTGTGGAACTTCCTGTACTCCATTTTATGGCCATTGCAAAAATGTCCTATGCCATATGGCATAATGTAAAATAGCAGTAAAAGCTGGGGGAAGGAATGAAGGAGGTGGATATTTGGCATTATGGTGTTTGTCTTTGCAAGTATGTATTACTTACATAGAAGCCCAGCTTTCCTGGGAAGAAGCTAAATAAACATCTCCTGCCATGGGAAGTAGTGAATGAATTCCTTATTGTCCCTTGCTTCTGCCAACAGCTTTTGCTATAACTGTTAAACTGTCTTTATCTCAACCCAATGGGTTTTCTCACTTTTACCCTTCCAGTTCTCTTCCCTATCCCACTGAGGGTAGAGTAAATGAGTGGCTGTGTGGGATTTAGCCACCCACTGGGGTCAAACTGCAATGGAAATATGCAAGTGGAATGAAATGTGATTATTAGAAGGTAACTGTGGGAGTGTGGCCATGGGGGTCGAAAAGCCCCATGGTTGGTGGTATCATCGGATTCTTAAGGATGAGACCATGAGGAATGCAAAGAGTTTAGAAGGAACAGAGAAGGGTGATTCAGGAGACACCTTGCTTTCTCAGACTGCTTGTTCTCCAGCCGTTAAGACACTAAAGTTGCTGGGTGTTTGCTGTTGCCAGGCAAAGTTGTAGACCAACGAATAGTTAGTGGAAAAGTACTGCTGTAGGGTGAATGGTATAAGCAAAGAATGGTATAAGAAAAGATGGTCTCCCACATCTGGTCCGCCAGGTCTGGTCCACTAGCATTTTTCCGGCAGGACCAAGATTCGACAAAGCAGTCAACCATTCCTTTAGCTTGGAACATACTGAAATGGTCCCTGGCTTAACAAGAACTAGTTCCCAGCCAGTCTCTAAAAATCATTTCTCTTTTTTTCTCAGGAAGTTAGAGGCAGTGCCAACTTAAACTCTGACTGAGGCTCTGCAACGATGCAAGTCTGTCTTACTACTTCAAATTCAGTGATGCTACCTGAGTTTCCATTAATTGATTTTCAAGGATTCAACCAATTTAAAGCTTTTGGACAATGGCAATTATTTGAAAACATTCCTACAGGTTTATTTTCTTCATTTACATTTGTTTGCTCTCTCCATCCCATTCAAAGCAGTCAGGACTGGTTTGCTTCTCTCTTCTCTGGAAATTTGCACTAGGAGCCATTGTTAGAATCAGAATCCTGATCTAAGAGCATGATGAAAAATGTTGCACTCCAAGTTGGAAATTGTAGAGGAAAATGTTCCTGTATATGAAAGAATTGTACTCAAACAGCTGATTACACTTTTTCTTACACCTTAACAGATGCTTACACCTTTTACCTTTAAACCTGAGAAGCAATGGGTAGTTTCTACATTTCCCTTGGGGATAGTGTACTCTTCTGTATTTTGCTTCTGTACAAACAGTTCAAAATTTTGAAGTCATATTGTCAGTCATACACCCAAACAACCTTGCATGGCATTACATGTTCCCTTCCAGACAGATCAAGCCCTGAATGCAAGATCAGACAAGTAAATAATGCCAACATGTAAAACTAATTTGTAAATACTTTACTTTTGGGCAGTTTTTTTGGCACTTCCACAGAATCATCACAAAATCATCTAGGTTGGAAGAGATCTCCAAGATCACCAAGTCTAGCCTCTGGCCTAACACTAGCAAGTCCTCCACTAAACCATGTCACTAAGCTCTATTTAAAAGTCTTTTAAATTTTGTGGGGCTTAACTCCACTGCAGTGAGAATAAAGTCTTCTGATGTGAACTGAAATTATACCTCTATGCCACAAGGTCTTTTTTTTCAGGAGGGGAAATGGAGCGGAAAATTCCTTGTGGACACCTGCAGGAGTTGCAAAACAATAATAAAATTCAGGTGAAGGAAAAGTTCCTTCTGTCGTTGTTGTTTTTGTTTTCTTTTCCATACAGTCTTAAAATGAAGGTCCCATTTTCTGCCCCCTGGCAGAGTGTAAGCATGCCGGAACACTTCACATTACGTAGATCATATTTGTCTGAAACGATAATATCATACCGATAGTCTGCTGCAGGCTGAAAAGTAGCCTATGCCTCAGGTACTGTTTTCTGCCCCTGTAACTTTTGTTACGACATCCTCGTAAGTCTTCAAAAGGGAAATGAAGTTACCCTATTCAGAAAAAAAAAACAAACCACCACCCCGAAGAAACTTTGGTTGTTTTCAGGGCCTGAATTCTCACTGAAACCAAAGGCGGGTATAGAATCATAGATTATCCCGAGTTGGAAGGGCCCCATAAGGATCATCGAGTGGCACCACACAGGTGTACCCAAAAATTCAGACTGCGTGACCAAGTGTGCAGTCCAAATGCTTCTTAAACGCTGACAGGCTTAGTGCAGCGACTACTTCCCTGAGGAGCCTGTTCCAGTGTGCGACCACCCTCTCCGTGAAGAACCTCTTCCTGATGTCTAGCCTAAACCTCCCCTGCCTCAGGCTGACACCATTCCTGTGGGTCCTATCAGTGGTGACTGAAGAGAATAGATTGGTACCTGCCCCTCCACTCCCCCTCATGAGGAAGCTGTAGACTGTGACGAGGCCTCCCCTCAGCCGCCTCTTTTCCAGGCTGAACAGGCCCAGTGACCTCAGCCACTCCTCATACGTCTTCCCCTCTAGGCCCTTTACTGTCTTTTTAGCCCAGTATCTTACTGACTTGAAGAAGGAGGCTTTAATCTATCCTGGTTTGTTTACTAACAAAGGAGCACAAAAGAGATGCATGTCCTCACCTCTGGAGAGGAGGTGAAAGAACAGCCAGTGCAAGGAACACAAAAATCAGTTGCACCAGACTAACATGCAGTTGTATCTGAGCTTGGGGACTGCAACCCTCTTCAGACTTCCAGATCTAGAGGAACACTTCGGCTGCAGCCTAAAAGCCACGTGTACATAAGCTCCCCCAGGCCAGCCGATCTTCTTCCCATGACCTGCCAGGAAGCAGCAATGTAGGCATGTACCCAAATCAAAGCCCAAACCTTCAGCCCAGTCCTTGACCTGAATAGTAAGTGAGGATCCGGATCCTGGCCTTTGTACGTGATAGCTTATACGCAGCAGAAGTAAATAGTGTAGTCAGAGGTCACGGGGCTAGATTTTGGAAAGTCCTGCATCAAGAAGACATCTCAGAAAAGCAGATTTAAATAACATTAATGCCAAGAAAAGTCATTCTGATTGCTATATTCTTTATCTGTCGTGACTAGACAGATGAAAATCTATGATAGCAATTTTGTCTTTAAGGTCATTTTCTTTTTTCTTTTATTTCTTTCATGTGTTTATTTATCTATTTATTTATTTTAACAGGCTCTGTACTACTTTTCCTCACAGAATGTCTAACAGAAATATGACCCTTGTGCAACTTTTGCAGTTCATTCATTAGGTCAACGCTAACCACTCAGCCCCTTGTCAGGTTATTTCTATGAGTGATAAGGAGCAATTGACCTTAAAACTTTGAAGCCAGGTAGATGAGCCTATTCCACAAGGTGTGTTGGCTCCACCCTTGTTAAGTGAAACCGGCCAGGTATGGGTCATTCGACCTTTGCTATGTAGGAAGCCTGAGGACTTGTGGGGAAGTGCCTCCCTGGGGGGAGTTTGAGGCTCTAGGGTGCTTTTCTGCTGTTGTGGTGAATTGGGCTCAGCATTCCCCAGTAGGCTGTTTTTCCTTCATGTTTTCTGCCCTCTCTGTGAAATAGTTTTAGTGACTCTATGAGTTAGCTACATAGATGGTGCGTAGAAGTTCAGGAGCTGGCAGGTGTTCCTGGGTTCTTCAGTTCTTTAGTGTTGAAGAGTTTGAGTATTTCTTTCACCTTGTCTGTTTTCAGTGAAATTTCTTACGTAGATTCTAAGCTCCCTTCCCAGACCAACACCCCTCCCCCTGCAAACCTCCCTCCCCCTCCCCCCCCCCCCCCCCAAAAAAAAAAAAGTCCTCAAAGCTGAAGCCTGACTTTGAAGAGCGTTCTTAACTCTGATATATGGAGTAATAATTCGTGTCAAGAAGATGGTTGATATTAATAAAGAAGGGGGAGATGTGGGGGTGTGGCTATTACTGTGGAAGTTGCTATGTGTTTGCTGGTTGCCAGGCAAAGCTGTTTGACCAATGAAAAGTCCTTCTGAAAAGGACTCCCATGGGAGGAAGTGTATAAGAGGGGAGCCTGTCCTCAAGATGGAAAGGCAACATGATGTAATGAAGTTATGTCATCAATAAAGAAGTAGAAACAAGGGATGAATAGGGACAGGCTTGCAGAATGGGGAGCAGGAAAGGGAACAGGGACATTGACTGCCTCATGAAGATAGGTTCAGCCAGATCAGCAAACTGCTCAAAGAAGCTTGTATAGAAAGTCGATGGAAATGGGCACATGAGAGCTGGAAAGAAGTTCAAGCAGAGAGAAGCGGAGCCATGCACACAACTGCTGCCCCTTGCTGGTAAGCAGTTGAGCATTAAGGGGAATCATACGTCCTTAGGAACAGAGACTGTCCTGGTAACCTTACAGCTTATTCTCCTTATTAACAATCGGACAGTTAATGATCCTGAAACATGGGACCAAACTGAGGTCAAGGTGTGGGACTCTGCTACTAAAACAACAAGTTTGTGGTGGGATTGCTTGGCACCTGGCGAGCAATCTCTGAGGCCTTAAGGAGCCATGTAGGGCCACAATCAGGAAAGTGTAGTGAGGGAACTGTGGGCTCATTTACTGATACTTCTGCTACACCGTCACCTAGATCTGTTTCCCTTTGATCCGGGAGGAATAGGATACATAGGGCCCAAAGGCCGAGTTGCTGAACTTAAAGTGAGACATGTTGTTCCCACGACTAGCCCTGGAATTCTCTAGTGTTTGTAATCAAGAAAAGGAATGGAAAATGTAGACTGTTATATGATCTGAGAGAAATTAATGAAGTCATGGAAGATGTGGGAGCACTTCTACCAGGATTACAAACTCCAGCTATGCTCCTTCCATCATGGATGTTAATAGTAATGGACTTAAAGGATTGTTTGTTAAACACTTGCCTTTTAAAACTTTGCCATGTTTAAGTTTCAATAGATACCTTTTCTGATTGTACATATGTATAGGTGTACTCGGGTGGGTTTAGTATGTAAAAGCAATGTTCTGTATATTTAGAAAGTTCGATGTTCATGTGTGCATGTTGGTAGACTATAGACTCCCTGTGCATCCAGTGCTGTTTATTTGCCTTTTATAAATATTACTAAATTCAGATTGAGTTGTTTCTTCATTTATAAAAGGAAGATATAGTACATGTCCCTTAGGCTGTCTTATTTACGGAAATTCCTTTGGCTTCCTTTCACATGCTCATTAGCCTATCTGATCTGCTAAAATTCTCTCAGCCTCCTCTCATAAGCACCAGGTCCAGTAATGCTTCTCTTCTGGTTGGTTTGTGTAATACTTGGACCAGGAAGTCATCCTTGGCTCACTACAGAAGCCTCCTGGATTGCTTGCTGTGTAGCTTTCCCAGCAGATGTCTGGGTGGTTTAAGTCTCCCACCAGGATGAGAGCTTGTAACCGTGATGCTTCTTGTAGCTGAAGCAGTCCCCTCTGACTATCTCTTCAGAAACATTTGTATCTCTCAGTTGCAGTATTCCAGTTGTATGATTCATTCCACTGCATTTCCATGATGGCAATTAAATCACTTCTCTAATTGCACCGTGGTTTCCAAAGCCGCCTCCTGCTTGTTTCCTGTGCTGTGTGCATTAGTGTAGAGGTATTTCAGTTGGACTGCATCACCATTTTAGGTATTTTGCTCTTGATTCCTAAAGAGTTGGTGTTCCCTAGTTCTTTTCTTTCAAAAGTATATCTGCTTTCCCAATGAATGTAGTTTAAAGCTCTGTTTAGTAGTCCAGGTAGCTCACTGCCTAGAACGCTCTTGCCCCACCTGGTGAGGTGTGCTCGATCCAGCATCAGCATGCCTGGTCTCTTGAACCTTCCATTATTAGTTAACCTTCTGTGCTTTCAGCTGAAAATAAGGCGGCTGGGATGAAATTGCATAAGTGCAATTGAATATACATGTAGAAATATATTTATTAGGGCTGGTCCAGGAATCCACTATCCTGACAGTATGATTCTTTGCTGAAACTGCAGGAATGGTAATTTCAAATCTGATGAATTATTAAGCAAGGATGATCTAGGAAAGGATTAAGGAATAATCACTATTGGTCCCACAACTTAGTTTTACAGAGTGGTATTTCAGAATATCCTCTCTGCAAAGTGCGGTCCAGAAATATGTGAAAATACATATTTTTTTTATTTGTCAGACTGCTGGTTGCCATTGCACAGGTCAATACTTAAATAATGCATCATTTTGCAGGTTATTCTCCCTGCTTCATTTCTCACAGAGGAAGTTCTGGTATCATGGGAGTTCTTTGTTTATGCTATTAATCTCTATTAGGTTCACTGCTGAAAATGGAGGATGATGTTGGACTGCGAAGAAAATGTCTCAACAGTTAAGTGTTTTTCTGCTCTTCAGATATCTTTCAGACTTTTTTCTTGAACAATTTGTATGAAGATCTTATTAGACTAGCAGCTATTCATATCTGATTTTTTTCCTCTCCCAGTATCCTCTGCGTTCTCTGATGTCCAAATCTGTGAGAAACTGTTTAGAACTATTGAGTTCTCAGTGTGTTGACATCAGTATGTATTAGGCTGACTGAAATATGTCCTTTTCTCTTCATTTTCATATGCCTGTCATTATTGACAGTCTCATACTTATCTTGGAGCTGATAGAGTTTGAGAGCTCTTCTTATATATTTGCACAATACTCACTAAAATGGGATCTTGGCTCACATAAAGATTAAGAAAGCTGCAGTAATAGGTGATGGTTAACACTAATAAAACAACCAGTCCCAGAAACACATACCTCTTCTAGGATCATAGGGAAATACTATGATAAAGAGAAATACAACTCTTCACTGGTTCAAGATTTAAATTACAGATGCTTTAAGATGCTCAGATTTATTAAGCTCTATGCGAAGAATGTATAGGGGCTAAGAGAACAGCATAGTGTCTGTTGTATCATCAGTAGACGATAAAATGGCTTGCTATCATCTTAACATACAGAACGTAACCCCTGAGAGTTCAGTCAACCCTGAGTTGCTGAATGAGCCATGTTTATTGCCTGATCAAATATTGATATGATGAGAGGTCATGTTCTTTTCTGAAATCCTATTAATAACCTGTGTGCCATGTGTGCTGGGGGAAGATCTCCAGTGTTATTTTTAACATGGCCATTTAAGAAATCCTTGGCTAAGGCATCCACAAATAATACATGTCTCAGCCCAGCCTAAAAACATCAAATTCACTCTGAGCTGCTCATCTTGACTAAAAGCAGATTGGGAATGGTGGAGGATATAGATGTATTTTTAGGACAGGTAGGATGGCTCACTGTGTTATGGAACAGACGATGACTTTCAGAAGGTCTTACTTGGGAGTTAATCTTCAGCTTTAACCTTCCCAAACTTGGCAGGGGACATAAGCCCATTGACTGTTAACCAGTTTCCAGAGCAAGGACAGGGACTGCTTGGGGAAGTTCTAAGGCTACAAGGCTACAGTAGGTTATCCTCTTCATTTGCAGGGTTTAAGGCTGAGTAAATAAGAAAATGAAAAAAAAAAAAAGCCTGTTAGGCTAAGGACAGATTTATTTACTCCATAGGAATGAAGGAGCATGATGCATTATGAGAATGTTTAATGGGATAATTGAGAAACTCCTCAAATTTTTATAACATAATATGCCAACCTTTGCTCAAACTTTGGCAATAACAACTTGAATGCAACAGTTCTGATGGCTCCTTATCTTGCTAGTTCCTATCATCATCCAAAAGTGTTATTTTAAATTAAAGGAAATATTAAAAATAAAGACTATATCCAGCGTCTTGGAAAAGGGGGGGGAAGCATTTACTTTTGTGCCAAAGACACACTTACGTCTGGGATATATTTTTATAGTTGGTAAAAGGTATTTTTGTATAGTCTAATCTCTGACTGTCATTAGCAGAGAAGTAGAGAAGGCTTTGAGTATCCTGAAAGAATAGATCATTTCCAAGAATGTTAGGTTAAATTTCTTTGAGATTCGTCATTTAGATATGTATACACCTAACATGAGCTTTATTTTTGTATAAACCTAAATTTCTGTTCATTCTGTTCAGTAACACTAAAGCCTATATCTTTCATGAGTCTGTTACATCACTGTTATTAATATTATCTATCCATCTGGACATCTTAGTAAATATAGCGAGTTATTTGTATGAAACCTCATTTCTATGAACACAGGTGGAGCTGACATTGAAGATCATCAGGCTATTCAAATACTTGTGTGTTAGCTTGAGTACTATGTTTGTAATGGTCCCCTAAAAATCACTAGTCAAGGGGAAGCAGCAGACTAGAGCATTCATTAGTGCACTTTATTTCTACTGCCATTACATTTCCAGAAAGAATTTGTGGGGCAACTTAGGGGGGAGGGCGTTATGAAATGCTGTAAACTTCACTAAATTTGTAATGAATGTGCAAACACATATTTGGCAACCTTTGGCTTTTCAGCTAGTTAGCAAGCGTTTATCTCAGCAGGTATTATATTCTTCATTTTGTATGAAAAATGTAAGCAGTTGTTTGTGAATTGTATCACCTCTTGTGACCTGTATGTTGGTAATGATCTTTGGAGTAGAGATTATAAGGAAATGTACTTTATTGAAGTGTAGCTCCATCATCACCACATTCCTGCAGAGTACCTGAAATAACATTCCTGTTTTCACTGCAGTGATAGATGAGCAGTTTTTGTCTTCCAGTTGTTCCTCAGTTAAAGCACCACACTTCCCAAACTCTAGTGGAAAAAAAGAAAAGGCATCCTCAGTGCATACAGATTGTGATGGAATTAAAACTTCTCGAAGCAGCTAAAGAGATTGTTGGTTCTTATAATGCATTCTCTAATCAAATGACATTTAAGAAGTTTATTCAGCTGACATCTTCTGCAGGTCACATAGGAGGAGACTATGCAATTTAGTAGCATCAAATGCTTTCAAAGAGTCTAAACACCAGATAGCCACATCAGTCTCTTCAAAAAAAAAAAAAAAAAAAAAAAACGATATTTTAGCTGTAGCATTTAAATGATATTCCATAACTGACTCAGGAAATTGTACCAGATTTTCTACAGAAAGTGATGGACAATAGTTTGCTGCTCTGTGACAGGAGCTGCAGGTGTGTTCTATGATGGGCAATGTCTGTATGTTTTTTTCATTGACTATTTACTCTACCTACCTTTTTAGAACAACTTCTGTGTGTGTCATCTCTTGCTTACCTTTGGAAGACTGTCCCAAAACCAAATGTATACACTTCTCAAAAACTGTTAATTTTAGTATACGTGTATTCACAGAAAATTTACATCTATTTGCTTACACCTATCCATTTATATGGATGAAAGACTATTTTCCCTGCAGCAGTCACAAGCTGATCAAAGTCAGTATTTGTTATGTAGTTGGCAAGAGCCTAGTGATCTTGCTATTAAAGAAGGGGAAGACTTGGAGTTTGATAGGATAATTCTGGGGGAAGGAGAAAAGGAAGGGGAGGAGTTAAATAGTGTCACTTAAGTGACAGGAATGCAAAGTAATGTCCTTTCCCAGTCTGATCTAATTTATACTCCCATTATTATTACTGACTATACATGTTAAACCTTCTCTTCCAATGACTGTCATTTAAAAAAAAAGCCAATATAACCTATTGTTTTCTGTATTTACATTGTGGAACCAGTGATAGGAGTAGATTGACTTTAGAAGAAAGAACATTCCTTATACTTTTCAAAATGTAGTTAATTACAGTGGTGTTAAAAGGAAAAAAAATACATATTGTATCTTATGCCTTTAGCTATTAACTTAACAACAATCAACTTTCCAATATAAGGGTATCTGTGTTATTTCTTCAGTTTTACTTCACTTTGTAATGACTTGGTGTTCTAGTGGTTACTGCAGTAATTAAAACAGACATGTTTTATATTTGAAACAGGAATGTTTTCTTAGTGCAGTTAATGGAAAAAAAAATCTTTCTAATGACCTCTGAATGTGTTACCATGGGGTATGCTTCTATAGAGAAAGCACAACCAAAAAAATTTAACTGTATTTACTGTATTTTCAACTGTATTAAGATAAGCCTTAGTGGATAAGCTGTCCATCACTTAGACCCCTTAAAACTATCACTGATACATTGTTCTTGTGAGTGTTTTTCATGCTGCCCTGGGCCTGCACGGGGTTGAGCTTGGTTTCTCCAGCACACTGTGGCCTAGTGCCCATTGTCTGGTCTGGCTGAGCTTCAGCTCTGTGAGTGCCCTTGGGGAAGTGGCTGACAGCCCCAAGCCACCCCTACAGGACACACAGCCCCAGGGGTACAGGGGAGGGCTGCAGGGCAAGGGGGTGGGGAGCAGGCAGTGAAAAGGAAATCCACCACCAGTATCAGTCTCCTCATGGGAAGACTCTGAGGCTGTTGACACCTTGCATCCCTCTGCTATTAAACTCCCACTATTAGCCCTAGGAGCCAGAGGAAAGCATAATGCATTAGAGGCATAGAAAACTAGTAAGTCCTCCTGTGTAACAGCTTTAAGGGTATTACCTACAATTAGGTTTTTCTGTAGGTTAAACTGTGAGTGTGACTATTTTGCTTCATTTTCATTAGTGTAAGATTTTATTTTGCTAACAATAAATCCTTTGCTTTGTGTATAAGGTGTAATCTCTTTCCCCATAAAAAGATTTTTAACAATGTATGCCACCATCCATACTGAAGATGTATGCAGAGCTATAAGTGAAAAAGGTTAACACATCTATTTTCAAGTCACAGCAAATTCTGAGGTCAAATCAAGACATAGCTAATGACTTGCACAATAAGAGATGAAAATAGGGAGATGAGTGTAAATGAAACTTCTGAAGAATTTACACAAGCTTGTAGAACCTACAGCTGTATCATCAGATTTCATTTGCCTTCTTTGTGAGAAAAAATAAACCCTAATTTAAAATAAGGCTGAAGCAATAAAAGAGTAATAAATAAACACAAGTAGATAAACCATGTTAGGAATACAGTTTACAAACTGATGTCTATTTTTCCTCTTACTGTGCTTCAGATTAAAACCTCTGTTAATGATATCCTTAGCATCTAAAATACCAAGGACACTTTGCAGGCAACTTGTGGCTATTTGGCTATCTGTGCTTCTTGTTCAAAAGTTAAGAGAAATGAGTGGAAGTTGATTTACTACTAAATTCTAGCCTGTATGACTATAATCCCTTGGTAGTAAGAAAATGAGATTAGAATATTTCCTTACAAAGTATTTGTTGTTCTCCTTTTGGCTTCCAATTACAGTCCAATGTGAAGACATACAAATGGAAAGAAAGATGGAAAAAATAGGGTGGAATTTGCTGGTTTGTTAGCTTCATAACTAATTTGGAAGATTGATCATATTAGAATTGAGCTGTGGATGGGAGGAGAAGGCTGGAAGGTGACTATATAAAATAATAAAAACATATAAATATAAAAATTGTGGGAAATGCACAAAGTTGAATTTTGGACTTTGTCATTACTATGCAAAACTAGTATAAGATTAGGTCTTTTTCCTGCATGTGTGAGAAGCTCAGGTGATGCCAGTAAGGAGTAAACAAATCTAAAGAGATCCTCTTCATTGGATTTCCTACATGAAGCAACAGTTATCCAACAGAAAGTTACAGTTTTCAGTTTCCATAGTTTTCAAAAAAAAAAAAAAAAAAAGAGCAAAGTGGAAACCAGGAATAGACAGATGAAATCAGAGTACAACTGGATTCACTTATTTTTATTTGAGAAATGCTCCCTAGAAATGATTTTTTAATGCAGAAATGTAATTCTGCTTTAAAAAAAAAAAATGTAGGGGCTATTGTTTTGCAAACAGATTATGTTCTTGTAACTAATACTCTTTCCTGAAACTTATGTGTCTGGATCAGAGTATCAGGACCACAGTTCTTTCCCCAGGATAGCTCTCATTCTGTTGTGCCCAGGAATAATGATCTAGGTAGAAGTCTCCTCTATCATATTCAGCTTTGTTTCTTATCTACTGCTATTAATAAATTTGGCTGGACTTTGATAAAAATCATGAAGAGAATACTACATTTAATTGAGCATGACAACGCCACCATGTAGGAGGTGTTACCATCTAGGAAAGCCTCTGGGGATTTGTATGGGTTTTATAATGAAGTTTTTGTGTAGCTATATCTTTCAGTATTAGAAATGTTGAGTGACTGTAATCTGTTGTAAACCCCCCCCCCCCCATATTTGAGGTTGATATAATGGAAATATTTACGCACACAGTGCTAAAGCAGAACCTAAGATGCTTGTCTCATCTTAATATGTACTACTACAGGTGAGAATTGATGCTGGAAAAAGTGTCTGAAAAGGGCTACTTTTACTCATTTGACCATCTGTCTTTATCTGAGAGACTTTCATAAATTGTTTAAGGGAATTTTTGTTATGTTACTTCCTTTCCAGAGATTTGAATAGAAAATGAATCTTGCAAATGCACATGCAAGACTGATAGCTTTGTACCCAGGAAGTTCATGCAGCTGTCTGGAATGCATTACTTTTCCTAGTCTTCTTATGATGAGGCAATCATTTTACCAAGAAGCAGAAATGTTCACACACAGTATGTATGATCATCAGTTCCCAAGTGAATGAAAGAATAATTTTGGCAATTACTCAAAGAAAAAAAAAAAAACCACAAATGTAATACTTAAAGCATAATTGGAACAATTTCTGGTAACTGAAGTATTTTTTAAAAAAAAAAAAGTCTGTTTTGCAGTGGTTCTCTAAAATTTCATAGCAACTGTAACACTAACAATAAAACAGCAGCAAAAGAGCCCTGGAGCAGAAGTCAAGGCTGTCACTTTCAGAAACATAATTTATTGTTAAATGCTTCAATTTTTTTGTACCTCAACCTGAAATCTATTGTTTCTGTTAGAGTTGCATAGATTCAATATAGTCAAAAAAAGACAAAAAATAAATCATTTAAACATCCCCTAAAACCCATACACACTTAATGCTGCCTAGCCACTGGTGATAAACTATATCTACAACACAGCTTACTGTGGGAATATTTCTGTACATTTCCCATGGTCTGAGCTCTTAGGTTTAGATACTAAGCGCAATATTAGGAACAGCGATGAAGATGCTGTTGTCAGTGTTGCACCCTTAAACCATGGTTTGACATGCGTTCTTCAGTTCCATACCACCGAGGATGAAAACAAGATTGGTGAAGAACAGCACTGCCCTCCGGTGGCCAGATGAATTCTTCTCAGAGGTAAGACAGATTTTCCTTCAACTCTTGGAATAGTTTATAGTTTTATTTGCAAAGCAGTGCCTAGAACTGTGAACAAAATTATGTGCATGCGACTCAAACTTTCAGGTCAGGGTTCGATTATATATATATTTACAGAAATATATACAATACTTCTATGCAAGACTAGAAATCATTGCAAAGAAAAGTGGAATAAAATTGTTATTAGTGGACAGTATAGTGCTGGTGAAGGTTTTGCTTCATGTTTAATTCTCATGAGTTTTCAAGCATTTAATGAGGATTTTCCCCTAACCTGTTTAGAATAAAACAGACAAATTTTTAAGATCCCGATCTTTTAGTCACTAAACAAAGCACAGACACCAGATCAGGTGTCTAAAAATATTCCTGTTGATGCTGGTCAGAAAGAAGCATGTGAATAAAATGTGTACAGTTTAACTTTATGTACAACTATGTTTACATGACAAGAACTCTCTTTCCAGTGGTTTAAATAGTTATATTTAGTATCAGTTATCTAGGCTTAGCTCTGTAAACAACTTGTTGTTAACAACATTAATAGACATGTTTATCATGCTCCTGTTTTCAACTGTGGCCTTTAGCAATGTTGGAAAACTTACCTCCATATGATAAACTTTATAATACTGTATTTTCCTTGGTTCACTAGTTTATTTTATTGTAAACATCATCATGCCTGGTAAAAACAAATAGATTTGGAGCTTTCATGAAACATTTCTATGGCCATTTTTCAGAGCTGGATTCTATAGAATATTGGATTCTTTCTACCAAAAGATACCCAGCTAGTACTGAAACTAGCCTGTCATCTCTAGAAATAGTTATGATGGAATTAAAAATTTAAGCACCACCTTATTGTAAACCAGTTTTTCAGATAGTGATATGCCACAAGCATGTATTTCTTCCCCTATATGTGTCTGGTGTATTTTGATTCTATATTGCCTCCACCAAGCAATGATGTCTTAAGTGAAGAGAGATACATGTATAATGCCAGATTCCACTCAATGATTAATGTTATAAGTTAGACCACACAATTTACTGGTCTATTGAAATTATTTTATTATTCAAGTAAGCAGACACAAACAAAACAGCGCTGGGCGGCTGGGGAGTCTCCGCTCCGCCACAGCACGCAACTTCCCTTTCCAGTGTCGCTGTTTTATAGTATTCAAGTTCTGGCCTGTCGAGGCGCTGCGCAGTCTGTTGTTGGGGGTCGTTATTCTTCCTCCGGTGATCACGCGTTGTGCTTGTGTTCAGGTGGGGGCAAAACAGGATGTCTTGCGGTGGGTGGATGGTATCTTACAGAATCTTTGTTTTAACAAGAATGTTTACCCAACCCCCTTTCCCCATTTGTCCCCATGTTACAATGCCGTGAGTTGTGAAACCTTATCTCCTCAGTAGATTCTCCAAATTCCTCAAAGACAATGAACAAACCCCCACTAATTTATCACAGTTAAGACTAGCAGGGCTGACTCTATGCAGGCTAATGTCAGTGATTTCTCAGACCAGATTTGTCACTGGTTCCTATCCTGAAAAATGTCAACTACAGAACAAGCTTAATGCTGCACTTGTTCCAAGTGGACATTTGAACTCTTCCTGCTTACAAAAAAATGCAAAAAAAAACCCCCAAAACTTTTCCATATATTTACAGACTGCTCACATCTCCCTTAATAAAATATAACATGTTAATGCTGACATCTTTAGAAACCATGTCAGGAAGAAGTTACTCAACTCCTCTTTATATTTCAAGAAGACTGATTAAACTAATCCTTTCTACCTGTGTTAAATGCCACCTCACCAACTAATCAGATCATAGAAAATGAGAGAAGGCTAAGGTTACGTAGTACATCTGCACCCAGCACAAGATCAATATATTTCATTCTTGAAGTCTCTTTCAACATACCTTAAAACCACTGTTCTAGTGCCCTGGTATCCTTAAAAAACAACAACAACAAAAAAAAAAACCTGCAGAAAGAAAAATTCAGGCTAGACATATAAGCTCATTGCTTTCTGTCCCACCAATATGATGAATGCATTATTTGCTTTATCTTCACAGCAGCATTTTATATTTGTAGCAGTTTGTGGTCCCCCAACCTTGTGTTTGAGAAGTCCTTCTATATTTCACTGTAGTTTACAATTTTGAGACCCCAGGTTCTCATGATGATTTTTAATTGGATTATTTTACATCAGTCAACATACTTTTGATGTACAGTTGTCAAAACAGACCTTAACAATGCCAAAAAGAGTGAGAGGTATGCTTTGCTTGTCATATCATCACAGACTTTCTGACTGTAATCTGCTAAAATTTCCTAGACTCTGTAGTACAAAAAAGCTAGTTGTTCTTCATTCTGTAGTTACATCCCGAGTTGTTTCTGCTTACATGTCATCCTTATGACACCCTTTCATGGGAATTTTTCCAGTTACCAGACCATTGATGTTAGCCTTCTGAGAATGAATTTTCAAATACTTTCCATCATGTTGCAACATGTTTATAATGCAATTATTACTCTTATTTGTTTGCAAATGTTGTAACATTTTTATTATGAGGAATTTTCATATAAAGCAGGATCAGAAGTCTACTTAAGTCAAAATATCTGACAGACTATATCCCCTTTTCTATCCTAAGGGGAATTAGACTGTTTTCACAGAATCACAGAATTTCTAGGTTGGAAGAGACCTCAAGATCATCGAGTCCAACCTCTAACCTAACACTAACAGTCCCCACTAAACCATATCCCTAAGCTCTACATCTAAACGTCTTTCTGTTCTAACCTGTTTTCCTAAAATCTCTACTTCATTTAGGATGCATAGAACTACTTGGAGTACTTTTTCCATTGTTTCTTGGGTATTTTTTCTGTGAATTAAACTGAACCTACCCCTGGAGTTCTGGTTTCCAGACACTTTTTCTTCCTTACTTATAAAATCTTATATACATGCTTTTCTGCAGACATTTAGTACTTGTTCTCAGGCTCTTAAAAAGTCATGTAAAGAATTCTAAGATTCTCTTAAGAGTTTTTTTTTTTTTAAAGTACATTAAAAAGTTCCTCGGATCCAGTTAGTTGAAAACATCTGATTCATCTAAATTGTTCTCTAACCTGTTTTTTCTTTTTCCTCCCATACTTCAGGCTAAGGTCTTGACCTTCTCTTATTAATATTTGTACATCATAAACATGACTGAAATTTCTGATGAAAGATTAATAATTACTTGCTCCTTTATTGGCACATCATCCTTTCAAATGTATTTTTCAAGTTTTTATGCTATTTCTACCATTGTATAATCTCCCTGGCTCAACAGAAATCCCCTGGAGAGAGGATCTTTTAGCTCCCTTCTTCACTTAGAGACTGACTGGACTTTACTGGGCCCATGTCAGCAGAAGGATGGATGGCTTTCCCAACTGACGTGAACACCCATTTCTTGTCAATACATATGCCATCTGTTTTACGTTAAGAAAAAATAAACACATTGCATTTTATCTTAATTTTTGGATGGATCTTTCGATCTGCCGTTATATCATATTGTTTGCTGGTACCTTAGTTTTCTTGACAGAATTCCACCTTCCCCAACCATCTTCTTAAATGATATAAAGCCATACTTAAAGTCCATTACAGCATCCTTTTTCTTAACATGTTCTCTGTTAAAATTTACTCACACATGCTGGCTGCATGTTACAGACAGGATAATTAAAGTATGATAAAAAATGCTTAGATTTAAGTGTTCCCATGTTTAATGAATCAAAGCTCAAATTATGAATAGAGTTAAATTTTCTCTTTATGATTTTCCCACTGCTGTGGCAATGTGTTTCCCTCAACAACAATTTGTGTGGTATTCATGCATGCATGATATTTTAGACATTTGTAATTTGAACACAGGCTTATCCCATCTAAAGACTTCTTAAAGCAGGGGACTAAATTTCACTGATTTTTAGGGAGATTGATCAATTGGAATAATGTAGAGGCTTAGCTTTTTAAATAGTGACTTAAAAGTTTAAAAATAATCTGACACTTTCATAAGTGAAGTAACTGAACAATATAAAGTACAGTTTGTTAGAAAATTGCCATTTCACTTTTTTTTAAATGTATATATTCAAGAGTCTGGGTGAAGAGTCTGGGTGTTTTTGGATATAAATTTAAAATATTGTAGAAGGCTAGGATAATCACAATAAATACTAGTATACAAAATAAAATAAAATAAAATGAACCAGAAGCCACAATTTCAGGAAAGAACATTATTCAGCAAAATTGCAGAAGACTAATACAGCCTGGGGAGGATTGTGAAATGAATTATCCTTAGCTTCACTTTCCCTTATGGCCTGATTCCAAAGCAAAGCACTTTCCTTTTATTCCCTATAAATATCTTTTCCTGTCATTTTCTGGTTTATTTTACTTTAGGGACATGATCAGCTTTTATCTGCTTTTAAAGATCCATTTCTGACGGAAAGTAATGGCATTTTGAACTTTTTGCCTTCACTTCACTTTAGACTTGTTGTGCAATGAAATGAGTCTTTTTTCCTTCTTAGTTTGCAGATGGTGAAAGCTGATGTATCACCCTTCCTTGATGTTTCCCACTGGGCACCAAGAAATGAAAAGACAAAAAGCCAGGTCTGAATGAGATCAATGGAGACAAATTTAGCAATGTTGTTTTTCCTCAACTTTTTATTTAGCTAGAATTTCATATTTCCTTCACGAAGTATGAAAGACAGAATCACTCCAATGACATGTTACAGGAATTTCTGAACTACCAAAGGCTAAAATCTTCTGTTACAATGGATGGAGGGCACACTCTGCAATTACTTTAGTCACTTTGCATACTGTGATGTCTACATTCAAAGAAGCAATGAATTATTCAGAGTGCTTGCATGGTTGCCAGCCCTGGATTCCCTTCTGTAGTCCATTGAGGAGACATAGCTGTACGAAGTACTGCATTTAAGTAATCTAAGCTCCAGCACTGCTACTGCTTATTTTATTGCTGGCTGAATAGGGAGACCTCGTCAGACAGTTTGTTGGTGTGGATCAATCACTGATGCTTGGACACCAGGCACTGATTTTAGTCTCTATGACAAGGTTAATCTTCATTGCTAGGTAGATGAATATGGCTTTTGGTATTTAGGCCTCTTTGTGTCATGTTTTTTGGGTATCTGGTACAAAGAAACTCTGGAAGTATAAAGTAGAAAGCTCAAAGGTTTAACAATTATTTATTGATTAATACAAAGCATGTCTACAATTTAACAAGTTGTTGAGTTAAGCATTATTAAGCATTAAGAGCCTTTGCTGACAAGGTCAGTGGTAGTTACACACAGAAAACTTGAGGAAAACATGAAGCTTTCTGGTGTGCATTATTCTGGGAAGATCCTAAAGGTTTCTTAATTTTTTATATACATGGTAATGGATAGAAATGTTCAGAAACTTAGTTCTTGGAAAAGCATCAAATCTGTGCAGACTGTTTCTTATAAAAGAAAGCTTTTAGAAAGACACATCTTAAAATGACTGAAAGTAGACTGCTGTTGGTCAAGTTTCAAACACATGACTACTGAAGTAGTCGTCAGTGAGCAGAGTGTATATGTTACAGCGAAGCAGCTGTTAAACTTCTGTAATTAACCTCACTGTCTAGTGAAGACTCCGTTTGAAAGTTAGAGATTATCAGCATAACGAGTGTAGCGTAACAGTGGAAATCCTGGTGATTCACACAGTAGTATAAAACCTCATCACTGAGACTCAAAAAATCTTGCTTTCTAGTCATGGGAGAATAAAACTACTTTGTGTTGAGATAGGAATCATACGAAAAGAATAATGACAGACAATCAAGGTGACTGCCTCCCGATGTGTAATACGTTTTTCCTAAGGCATGAAAAATCAAGAAAGGGGAGTGATTCTCAACTAGAGAGACTCTGAAATTGAAAAATAAAAATGTTTTAGCTTGCCAGAAGCATTAAGTACTCTTTTGGAGTTGCATTAAGATGCAGAAGACAATTCATGAGAGATATTAGTAGTTCTGTTTTCCAGAACAAGGGGGGGGGAGGAGGGGGGGGGGAACTAAAAGGTTTTGGTACAGCTTTCTGAGAAATGAAATATAGCTTTGTTTAAGAAATTATGAGGAACGTCTGACACATATCAGCCATAACACTTTGGATTTTAATGTCTTAAGCAAATCCATGTAATATTATTTGATCTATTTTTTTAGATAATGGTAAGGGCTACACTCTACGCTGGAAAGTGGAACATAATGATTACATATATATATCTAACTATATATATCTACAGGCTATGGGACAGAGAAAGGAAGCATCGGCTGAAGATGTGAAGAGATGAAAATTGTGTAACTTGGGTAGCAGTCCTCACTTACTGTCCACATATGAAGATATTTCATATATATCCATCAGTAATGTCCTATGGGAGGGTTAATGTTATCGAGCTATCTAACAGTAAAAGAACAGGGATAAATTAGCTGTTAGATATAAATTGTATAATTAAATATTTTAAAAGGTCAATCTGTAAGACACAGAAGATACTAATTCAAATTAGGCCTAGCATATAAAACATGAAGGAATAAGTGTATTTTAATGACCAAAGTGCTGCATAGAATTACATAATATTCCTGTCTTGTGGTGTCATAGAACTACCTCATCACATCCTGTGTTACCTGTTTTAATTGTATGTTAAATGGTAGGGAAATGACATAAGATAGAAGAAATAAGCAGCTGCCATCCACTTATAATTCTGTTTCATTTTATCATGGGATTATTATTGTAAAGATATGTAGTACACAAAAACTGTTTGATTAAGTTTATCTAAACTTTTCTGTTATATAATGCACTTCGCCTTTAAACCCAATCAGAAATTGTTTTTCTTATTTTGTCATCTGGGAGTTTTTTGCTTTAATTTTATATCATTAGTTATATTTTCGTTTTTGTGATAAATTATGTAATCTGTAACAGATAGAAAGTGACAGTGAAAAATATGTCCTGAAACACAGGAAGATTACTGAACCATAGGTATACAGGCTATGATGATTCCAGTATTCTCTGCTAACTCTTACATCCTTTAACAGCTGTTGAAAAATAAATATATTTTTTCACTATTAGTTGCTAAGTATGATTAAGAAAAAAATATTATCTTAATGAATATTCCTGCAATTTAGAGCCATAGTAAGTGACAGTACTTTACTGATTCTGATGAATAAGTAAAAAAATAAAATACTATTTTCATTGATACATTAATTTCCATCATAGATGTTTCAAGAAACTTAATTAATGAAACAGATCTGGTCATGTGTCAATACAATTAAATCTTGGGTCTAATGGAATAGATAAGGGCTATAATTGTATATTGTAAGAAATAAAAACTGCACAAAGTCCAAACACGACTATCTTAAGAGTCAAAAGTTCACAGAGCAGTCAACACTCAATAAATTCCAGTTTCCTTAGTGGCAGTTCACAATCTGCAGACTTTGGCTGGAGTCTGAGGTGAGCACTTCTGGACTAATTTAGGAAGAATGAAAGATTAGAAGTTTTGTGTTTAGTAGTAAATGTTTGAGCTATAATATACATCCTTTTCCTTTCTTACATTACAAATCCATAATAAAGCCATGCATTATCATTTACAGGCTTTTAAAGGGATAAACAGAAGTGCCTTTTTCCTCATATACACTTAAAAATAAATCATTGCAATTCTAACAGGTCAAACTGGCTCATCTCATTCATAACCAGAATATCATACATAACTGCAGTAGCTCATTTTCCAAGAGACATGGCATGTATCTTGCATTTTTTATCAAATTTGCTCCAGAGTTGCATAGTGAAATACTTCAGTGCTCTTCTGGTGATTAGCTAGGTTAAGGCTTTACTTACTAAAAAATTGGTGATAGGCTTTGCTTCTGTATATTAAACACTTATTTTACTTTAAAAAAGTAAAATAATAATAAAAAAAAAAGAGTAAATATTTAATATGAAGCCTGAGTGACCTTTTCACCACATCTGAATCTACCTCTTGCTTTTGATTGTCTTCTTTCCTTTCCTTTGGTTGATGATATTAAAATTGATCCTACGTAACTGGGTACGTTTTACTCCTGGTGTATTGGCTGTGTTTTCATATCAAGCTATTCAGTCACCTTTGTCTAACATTTCTTTCCCTTATGTAGTCAGTGTAGTCCAATGTAAGCTCTGAACTATCTAATTTCTTCTGTAATGTCCTGAACCACCTTCCTTTGATTTTTCTGTTCTTTGTTTTAGCTGTTTTTATTGGCAAATTTCATAATTCTGTTTTTATCAGATACTGAGTTTTCATTGTTGTCTTTTGCACTAAAATTGCTATTATCTGTACTCGGAAATGTCTGTGCTCTCAATATGCTATATAACCTGGAAAACAAGCAAACAAACAAAAAATGACAACAACTACAAAAAAATATATATCCTTAAGAACAAACATTCAATAACAAAATTAGGTACTGTGTTGAAGGTGTAGAAGGCTTCCTTTAATTTTTCCACATTCATCTTTTGCTCACTTGGGGAGCAGATTGCTTACTGAAAAAGAAAGTTTGTAACTAAGCAATTGCTATCCATTGTCTGAGGTCTATGTTGTTTGCTTTTATTATTGTGACAATGACATACTGACCTGTGTGAAAGACTTCTAATTAATCCCTTCTGTTCCTGTTAGAGCATTTTGTTTCAGGATTTTATTTATTTTGCGGGGTGGGGGTTCTGTTGAGTGGTGATTTTTGATCTTTATATATATATTGCAACATTTGTGGAATCAATATTTAACCTATGACTTCTCAGGTAATATATTTTGAATTTACTAGCTTGAGGCACATAAGTGAGGCATGTGAGGCAGTTCATGAAAAATGAACATGAAGCATTAAAAATGTTAAGACCACACTTAGTTCCTCAGATTCCTATTCTGACACATCTAGACAAGACGAAGAGGAATATTTGGCTTCTCTCTGTTACAATTCACAAGGTTAGGGTTAATATTATATTTTTTCAGTCTGTTCTGCACTCAATTTTCCTGAATGCCACCAGGAGTATATGGCCTTCTGTTTAGTCAGTTTGTCTTCAGGGTCTGAAAACTGTCTTCTGATTTAACATATGTGAAGAGACAGCCCATAACCCCTTACTCAGTCTCATAACAGTCTTTGATAATACGGAAATTGCAGTTAAAAGCAAACAATTACAGAGCAGTTACTACTAAAGGCTGTGTGGTTTAGATCTGCAAGACCTAACAAACCTGCATTTTTTTGCTGAACAGAAGTTCAGTAAAATCTGATTTTACTCAGAGGTAAAATAATGTTTGGCAATTGCGTAACATAAGTTACACATACAAGTTACACATACAATTTTTTACTCTTCTTAGTAGCATTCTGCCAATTTGTACAAAATAAAATTTGTGCAAAATACAAAATCTTTTTTTTGGATATTATGATCAAATATGTGAATACTTTTTTAACATGTGAAGTACATCTGATACATGATGTGAATTGGGCAATACATTCTATTTATAAAAAAAATGATTGAGTTACTTTATTCCATATAACAATGGGGGAGGAGGGGGGAAAGTGCTAGAATAAAGACCTTTTTTCTGTTTTTGTATATATAATCCTACATTTATTGGAAAGAGGATTAGGTAGAGTTCATGCCCCTTTTTAGCAGTTGCCAGCTCATATTCAGGTGAGAATTGACCAACACACCCAGATCCTTTTCATTACAGCTTTCAAGCCGCTCTCCCCCAAGTCTATAGCGCTGCATAGGGTTGTGGTGACCAAAGTGCAGGACCCGGCACTTAGCCATGTTGAATCTCATCCCATTGGTCTCTGCCCATTGACCTATCCTGTCCAGGTCCCTCTGAAGGGCCTTCCTACCCTCTGGCAGATCGACACTTCCCCCCAACTTGGTGTCATCTGCAAACTTACCGGGGGTGCACTCAATTCCCTCATCCAAATTATCAATGAAAATATTAAATAGGATGGGCCCCAACACTCACCCCTGGGGAACTCCACTCACGACCAATTGCCAGCTGGATTTAACTCTGTTCACCACTACTCTCTGAGCCTGGCTCTCCAGCCAGTTTTTAACCCAGCAAAGAGTGTATGTGTTCTATAACCTATACTAGCAAAATTACTTTCAGAAATGTTAAACATACATCTCCATAAATAGTCACAGAAAGCTTCATGTAGACTATAGATCTGTATTATTTTAGAGAATAGGAAATGAACACATTCTTAATTTGCAAAAAGACTGCTTCAAATAGTAAATAAAGTGATTGTTTAATTAACTCATTAACAGTGAGATAGATAATGGAAATATGAATATGATGTTATTCTTTGTAAAATGTGAAAGCAAAATTACACAAATTTAGATTTAAGAAAGGTTGAATGCAGTTATTTGATTTTCTTTTCCCCGCATCATGTCCACTCTTCACTGTGGTAGAATACAAAAAGAAAAAAGAAGGAGAATGCTTGAGAGGCAAATAAAATGGGAAAGGAACATAGGGAAAATACTTTAGAAACAAATATTTTTATGTTTCTAAAAATTACATTTTAAAAAGTTCAGATTTTTTTGGAAGCTGAAATAATTTAAGTACCACTGTCATAAACTTTCACGGTACCTCTTTGTCAACTCTGACAATATTAAGAAGAAAACATGCCATAGTAGTATTTTGTAAGTAAGAGGTATCTGAAGCACTTAAAACAACAATCTGCTTTTCAGATTTTTATGATATTTGAAAACGTTTGTTTGTTTCCTCTGTATATGTGTGCCTTTTGAGGCACACGATGGAGGTGATTCAGAACCTACTCAGGAAAAAAATATAAAATTTTATTAAAAAAAAAATATCTTAATTTTTGAGACTAAATCAGATCTAAAGCTCTGGTAATAACAAAATGTATATTAACCATGATATGGATCTGGGTCACAACTTTTACCTGCAGGCCTTGCAGACTGTAGTGTAGGAGAATGTAGAAATTGCATTTTATGATGCAATTATTTCCAAATGATGGATAACCATATTCTTCAAAAACTAATGTTGTTATTTCATATTCTCGCTTATCTTATGAAAACTCCTGCATCTTGTACAAATAATCTTATACAAAATGAAAGAATAAATAAGTGAATAAAGAGTAGTTCAGCACATATAAAGCACTGCAACATTAAGTACGCAACAATATGTTGACCACATTAGGTTGGGTTAACTGGAAGCAAGATGACCAGGAAATACTAGAAATATCTGGAAGAGGTGAATTGGAGCTCTTCACAGGTAAAAAGGTCAGAATAAATAGCCTAACTGCTAGTAGCTATTAATTTATAGCCTATAAAATTATATGATTCCATGCACAGATTTATATTTTATAATATATATTATAAATATAAATAAAATAAATATATTTATAAATAAATATAATATATTTATAATATAATAATATAATAAAAATATAATTTTATATTTTATATTATCCCTGGAAGTCTTTAAAAGACGTTTAGATGTAGAGCTTAGGGATATGGTTTAGTGGGGACTGTTAGCATTAGGCCAGAGGTTGGACTCGATGATCTTGAGGTCTCTTCCAACCTAGAAATTCTGTGATTCTGTGATTTATATTTTGCACAGATTTATTGCTTAAGACAATAAAAGAAATATCTGGCATTACATGACTTTGGGATCTGTTAATGAAGGGGTTCGTGTCGTCTTGAACCTTTTCATAACTGAGCTGTTAGCAAAAATTTTATGTCATAGGAGTATAAAATTACCTACTACCCTGGTTGTTAAAGTAATACTTTTAAAAACAAACAAAATCTTTCCTCTTCTTTGCAATGTCACTACCTGTCACCAGTGCTTCATATCTACTCCATTGTTATTTATTTACTCAGTATATTACATCATTAGATTTATGCTTGTTAGATTAATGCTTGTTCTTTCTATTTTACTAGACTGACTGGTGTGGAGATAGCACCATACAAACTGCTATGAAGAAAGCTGTTTTTTCTATTTGTGGATAATGCAGTGGTATTAATTCACTAATATTTTGACTCTTGCTGATCATTGCTTGCACGGTATCAATTTGTTTGTTTGTTTGTTTCCCCCTCCACCCTAACCCCCCAATGACCGGGCATGGTCAAGAAAGTTAGACAAGGACACAACCAGGACAGCAGACATGAATTGGCCAGAGGGGGGATATTCCATGTTATACAGCATCATGCTTGGCAATGAAAACTAGGTGCTTGAT